GTTCATCAACGTAACAAAGGATATGTAATTGCACACCATATCCTCCCTCACCACTACCCATCCCCAGGGCCTTCTCCCACAATCCAGTCAGGTGGACCAAAAAGTACAGGAAATGACAGGACATTTCTTGCACAGGTCAAGGTCTACAAAATATAACTGCGGACTGGGCCGGATTTACTCTCTCTGCCGCCCCAATGCCAGGTTCCTCACTGGGCCCCCCTGTAGGTAGGCTGCATACAAGTGATCTCGGCAGATCACTTGTACAAAAACAAGCAGCGGCTTCCCGGCTGTACAATTAGCCCTGCTTGCCCAAAGCAGGGCTAAATGTAGAAAACTACCCGCCTGGCCCCCAGATTTGCATGTCTCGGGCGGCAGGAATTCCACATCCCTGCTGCCCCTCTACTTCCTGCTGCCCCAAGCCTTGGTTGGCCTTGTGGGAAATCCAGCCCCGACTGCAGACGCAACCCTGCACATTGTATAAAACACACCGAGGATTAACAGAGGACAATCGGCACTGTAGCAATGTTTTCTGGATAGCAATGTGTCCAGTACCTGCTTCTTCTCCTGCAGGTCGGCTATAATTTTCTTCCCCTCTGTTGTGGCCTCAAAGCTGTAGACGGCGGAGTCTTCATCCATGGGGAAGACAAAGATGGCTTCCATCGCATTCTCCTCCTTGTTCTTATACTTGAGAGTGGCCGATACATCCGCCACAAAGCCGTTCACTTGGATGTCAACCGATATGCCCTGAAGGGGGACTGGACACACAGAAAGACATTACTTTTCTTGTTACCGTATGATAAAGTTCTGCCACCAAGTCTGATAGCATCACATGGCCTGCAATGTACCACCACATGGTCGGTGATGTACTGCCACCAAGTCTGACAGCATAGAGTCACATGGTCTGTAATGTACTGCCAGCAGGTCTTACGTAGCGTCACATGGCCTGTAATGTACTGCCAGCATGTCGGACAGCATAGCCACCGAGTCTGCCACCGAGTCGGACTGCATAGCGTCACATGGCATGTAATGTGCTGCCACCAAGTCTCGGACAGTATAGGGTCACATGGCCTGTAATGTACTGCCACCAGGTCTTACATAGCATCACATGGCATGTAATGTACTGCCACTGAGTCGGACAGCATAGCCACCGAGTCAGACAGCATAGAGTCACATGGAATGGAATGTACTGCCACCAAGTCTGACAGCATAGCGTCACATGGTCTGTAATGTGCTGCCACCAAGTCTCGGACAGTATAGGGTCACATGGCCTGTAATGTACTGCCACCAAGTCTCGGACACTATAGGGTCACATGGCCTGTAATGTACTGCCACCAGGTCTTACATAGCGTCACATGGCATGTAATGTACTGCCACAGAGTCTGACAGCATAGCGTCACATGGCATGTAATGTACTGCCACAAAGTCTGACAGCATAGCGCCACATGGTCTGTATTGTACTGCCACCAAGTCCCTGATAGTACAGACCATGCGGCGCTGTGCTATACTAGTGCAGTTTAAAGCCCAGTGGCAAATATGAACGAATGCAATAAAGCATGGGGTAGGCAACCTCAGCAATGAAGCTACAAATGCCATCATGCCTCTGCAAGTCCTGCCTATGGCTGTCAAAGAGTCTTGCCATTTCACCTGGGACTTTTAGTTCCACACCAGCTGGAGTGCCGAGGTTGCCTACCCCCTGCAATAAAATACACCACATTTAAAAGAAATTATTCTGAATCCACTAAATTGCATCTACAAAAAGGCACACAACCCATTCCCTGTAAAATGTTTCCATCCTAAACTTTTATGCGTCATCCTTCTCCCACTCGTGTCATCCTCTGCCCGCAGCATCACACCGCAGCCGACATCTGCCTTAAGTGTCGCCGCATTGTCCTCTATAGATGGTCACTGCGGGCATTTGTGTGCAGAATGTGAGCTTGTGGGCGTGGCCTCTAGGAAAAGGAGGAGGAGTTGAGAACACAGAACTTACTTGGCAGCTTCTCCTTTGTTAGGAGTCCGCAGCATTCTGAGCAGTCCATGTCTCCAGAGATCTGCAATGGAAGAGACATTACAACTGCGACACTTCAACGCTCCACCACCTAGAACGAAAACCAATATATTACCGCGTCCATTCCTCAGACATGGCGGCTGCATTCGTTTGTTGGCTCTGCCAGAATTTCAGCATGCCTGTAACTCCCTGCGCTCTGTACAAGGTTATCAGCTTTCCCAGGGATCTGATGCGAGCTACAAGGCCCCTTCCTCTCGATGTAATATAGATAGAGAGGAGGTGGCTGTAGTCCAAAGGGATCAGGGAAGCAGCCTAGAGTGACAGCGCTGCTCCTCCATAGATGGAGCACAGTGAGTGAGCGTCGTCACCCAACAGACAACGCTGTGAAGGAATGCTTAATGAAGGACTCCAGGCAAGCTAAAACTTACCTCTTGCAGTGGGACTACCCCCATACTGCAAGGGTTAAGTTTTTCTCTAGGGGGGCTATAATATAGACTCAACTGCCCAGCGTCAGCCCCAATACTGGTATCTGTATCGGCGCATCCCTACTTTTTACTCCTCATGTGACCATGGCCAGTCTCGGTATGTACTTTGTGAAGTCAAACCATGTTGGATTTAAAGGAGAACTATGAGGGCTTTTCACTCACCTCATAGTTCTAGCCGACCTGTGACAATGAGACTGTCACAGGTCGGCTCAGTAGATCGGGAGGTGAGAGAACACATACCGGCGTTTGCTCACATCTCGATCGTGTCACGGCTCTCGGCAGTGACAGGGGGAGGGACTGGATTCCCCCCTCCCCGATCCTCCAGCGCTGACTGGCGGAACGGACGGGGGAGGGTACAGCTGGCTCTGCCTCTAGATAGGCAGAGCCAGCTGTCACTCACACAGCTGGGCGGATCTCGACATCGATGTCGGGATCCGCTCCGGCTGTCTCAGTATACCGCGAGCTGTAGCTCGCGGTATACTGAGCCTAGGGTGACGGGAGGACGCTAGTTTGTGTCCTCCCGTTACCCTAAGGAGAACTATGGGGAAAAACACTGACCTCATAGTTATCCTTTAAGCTTCTGTGTCTTAATGGAGAGTTAGGCTGTGGATGGATCTGCATCAGCTGATGACCCTCCCTGCTTCTGCCATTCTGCCCTCATTGCAGATACTTGGTTTGTAATATCCATTGTCTTTTTACACTTCATGTGACCAGTAAAAATCCTCTTTATGCCGGGCCGGATTTAGTTTCCCTGCTGCCCTAAGGCCAGGTTACGCAATGCGCCCCCCGCCAACCCTCCATCAATGGAGAATGGCAACTAGATGACAGGGCAGCAGCGTTTTAATTTTATCACTTTATTTTTATTTTTTTTACTTAACATTTTTTATTTATCTTATCGTTTACTTTTTTTTTATAATCCTTTTCTTATTTTTCAATCATTTGTTTCTTATTTTTTACTTTTTAATTTGTTTTTCATTTAATTATTTCTTAAATCTTTAGATTTTTATTTAATCAATGTTTTTTTTCACCTAACTTTATTGCCATCACATAGGACCTAACAAGCCCCTGTGTGACAGCATACATTTAGTCCTGCTTGTGCAAAGCAGGACTAAATGTAGAAAGCGCAACTTACCGCCCGGAACTTCCCCACAAGGACACCGCTGCAGCTCCTCTGCATCCTGCCGCGCCGAGGCCGGGCCTCGGTGGCCTTGTGGGGAGTCCGGCCCTGTCTGTATGTACTTTCAGAAGTAAAACTAAGAGTAACACTGTCTGAATGAATCTGAAGCGGCTGGTGACCATTGCTCCTGGAAGGATTGAAGTCCAAAGGAGGCACGTCAAAGCATGAAAGTAGCTTTGTAAACACAAAATCCTTTACTTTTTGCCCCCTAGACAAAATTAGCACAAAACCCTTGCAACACGAGGGTAGCCCCACTGCAAGGGTTAACCTTTAGGGTGCCTGGAGTTCTTTAAGCTGGCCATATAAACAAAAAGTCTATCAGCAAATGTGAACCATTTATTTGCAAACTCAATGTTAAAACCAAATTAATTTTGGCCGACATTCAGCAAGTCTGAGGCAGGATCCAACGTTCTGAGCAGATTTTTCTTTTGAGGGCCGGTGCACACCTAGGCGGCACCGCACGGCAATCGTGCACGATACCGCGCGGATTGCCTTGCGGTCAGGAGTGGCCCAGGTGTGCAACGATCACGTTGTGGGTGCCATTATTTTCTACCGGCATCCCAGTCGTGCCAGGTGGATCACGCGGTTTCCCGCTGCGATTCCACCCGTGTTTCCGAAAACGATCGTGGCTAAACAATCGCGAGTTGTGT